CGGAAATTATTGGTATAGTATATCACTTTCATCCAAAGTTGGCACACCAAAAAAGTCTATTTTTTCTGAATTTTAACAACAAAAATGGACATAGCTAAGTATTTTAAGGCAAATTAGTGCATTTTTAGTCATTTTTGAGAAACTTTTTTTTTCGGAGATTTGTTCCGGAAATTATTGGTATAGTATATCACTGTCATACAAAGTTGGCGTACCAAAAAAGTCTATTTTTTCTGAATTTTAACAACAAAAATGGACATAGCTAAGTATTTTAAGGCAAATGAGTGCATTTTTAGTCATTTTTGAGAAACTTTTTTTTTTGGAGATTTATTCCAGAACTTATTGCTATGGCATCTTACTGTGAGCAAAAGTTGGCGTACCAAAAAAGTATATTTTTTCTGAATTTTAACCACAAAAATGGACATAGTTAAGTATTTTAAGGCAAATTAGTGCATTTTTAGTATGCATAGATAGACACGCACACGCGCAAACGCACACACGCAAACACACACGCACAGACGCAGACACACATACACAGACACAGGCAAACACAGACACAGACACAAAGCACACAGACACACACGCACACGTAAAAACACACAGACGCACACAGGCAGACACAGATGCAAAGCACACAGACACACAAAGTTGACGTACCAAAAAAGTACATTTTTCTGAATTTTTCCGATAAAAATGGATATAGCTAAGTATTTAAAGGCAAATTAGTCTATTTTTATTTTTTATTTTTAAAACATTGGTTTTTTTCATCCGTAATAAATTATTGGTACAACGAAGTACTTGAGCAGAAAATTCCGAAATTAAAGTTGCAATTGTATGTTTATCACGTCGTAATTTAATTAGGAAAAAGGTCTATTTGGACACGACACAACTTTACTCACATCACGACTTTATTCTCATAAATGTAGAACATCGAGTTTTTATGTAAAGTAACGAGTAAGTAAATTTACGACAAACAACTCGACTTGTAATAAACGTTCAACGTTCTTTAAAAGACTTTTCCGACAGGAGGCGCTGGAGATAATCCTAACAATGGATGCGGATCCTTCCGTGACGACACCATTCAACAACTTCCGGGGTAAACATTGAGAGGTCAAAATCAACATGGCGGCAAATAAGCGAGTTCTGTATGTTGGTGAGTTTGTTTTAATTCATTTTATAAAAGTGTCCGCAATAGAACTGTTTAAGAACGAAGAGGGGGTGAAAGTCGTCAATCTGGGTAAAAATGAAACACGATTGTTGTGAATCGATAGAAAAACCGCTGCGACAAATAGAAGCAACCGGTGAAATGTGTGTTTTCATGTAGACGTTTTTGTCATGGTTTAGGAGCAGAATCGGCTTCTGGTTGGTTTGTGTCGTAATGTGAAATAAAAACACACTCGTCTGCTTTTATAATCATAATATTAAGAAAAGCCAAGTCGATTTATTAGCGTTAAACACCGTTGTAAAACATAAACATGTATATAGTAGTTATATAGTTCACAATTTAAGGTTTAGAAACAAATACAGTTTGAAAGATTATTTCCCTTTTTTTTAAGCTTGTGATTCGAAAACGAAATAGGTTTGTTCTAATAGAACACACAGATTCATGACTTAATTTTTCACAAGATAGTTTTATTGTCGTAAGATGTTAATAATAATAATAAAATAATAATAAAATAATAAAATCATTATTATTTAAAAGGAAAGATAGACATTCTGTGTACAACCCTGTGTTCGGTGTACGTGTGTAAATGTTGATAATAAATGATAAACCGCTGGTTGTTTGTGTCAGGTGGTCTGGCTGAAGAGGTGGATGAGAAAGTACTGCACGCTGCATTTATCCCCTTTGGAGACATCATAGACATCCAGATCCCGTTGGACTATGAGACGGGTGAGACTCAGTCACTGTATGCTGTGTGTGTGTGATGATGATGAATTATAGCTGTTAATTGTTTAATAACAATGCTTCATTATTTTCTGTTGTCAGAGAAACACAGAGGCTTTGCCTTCATTGAGTTTGAACTGGCAGAGGTACGTAACTCTAAATGACTGTATTCTATATGTTAAAATACATGGATTAAATAATTTATATAAAGGCAGTAAAATCAGGAGATCTTCGTTAAAAGGTGCCTGTGTTTTTTTTCTGTAGATAACTTAACTGCCATGCTTAGACTGACCTGTAGAGGCAGTATAAATACACTCTGTCTCTCTCAACATTTTGTCTCCATCTTTTGCAGGATGCTGCTGCAGCTATCGATAACATGGTGAGTGTCATCAGTGATGTCATCAGTATCAGACAAGGACACAAGGAAGAAAAAACTTCCTCTTCAAAAAGGATGTCTTCCTCAAGAAGAAAAAAATCCCCTGATTCAAAAAGAAATTATTTCCTTGAAAATAACTCTTCCTCCTTGAACAAAGAAAACTTTCTTCAAAATAATTCTTCCTCAAAATAATAAAAACAAATATTTGAAAAAACACTTCCTTGAAACAAGATCTTTCTCCACAAAATCTTCTGATAAAAATTATTCTGATAAAAATCTTCCTAAAAGAAATCTTTTTGGAAGAAATGTTCCTTGGAAAAAAGAAACATTTCTACAAGGAATACATCTTTAAAAAAAAACTTCTATATGTTCCTTGTGGAAAACATTCCTCCTAAAAATCTTAAGAACAAAAATTCTCCTCCTTTTTTTCCTGACAGTTTCCCTGATACACTTTCATAGTAATTTTTTAACTAAATATCTAAAACAAACATGAATTATATTCAGCAAAACATAATAGAATATGACAGTAAAGGTGGAACACAAACATTGTTAATGTGTAAACTGATGTAAACAGACGGCGTGGTGAATGTAGCGTTAGCATCACCTCCAGTCAGTTTTCTTTACAGCTGCTGTTGGTGGGAGTTATTGATGGTCGTTCTCCAAACAAAGATCACGTTGATGTTGTCCAACAATGCTGTGGTTTCTCTCACTGAAGTGAGCGACTTCACAGGAAACTGGACACACTGCAGAGTGACACCTGTAGAAAAAACTGATTAATGCACCATAAAAATGTCAAACTGAAACACAAGAGACACGTGGGTGAAACTGCTGTTTAAACAAATGTCACGTCACGAACCATTTGTTATTTTTCTGTTTTGCCTGAATAGAATGAGTCGGAGCTTTTTGGACGGACGGTGAGGGTCAACATCGCCAAACCCATGAGGATCAAAGAAGGTTCTTCTCGACCGGGTGATTATTGACACAGCATTCACAGAGAAAACAGTTTCACGGAACAGTACCAGTGGGTTAGCAAACCAAGGACCGGTCGACCGGTACCAGCCGTTACTGTGGACCAGTAATACCACACCATCTTTGAAGTGTCATTAAATTTTCTTCTAGTTTTTCTTCTGTTCTGTATCAGAGTCTGAATGACCTTTGACCTGTTGTTCTGAAACACTGACAGATGATCTTTGAATGATTGAACAGTAAAGAGACATGACTGGATACTTTTGGAATGAAGTACATCAGTGAAACTGAAGTACACTTTGTCTTTGTTTGTCTTCCAGTGTGGACCGACGATGATTGGCTGAAAAAGTTCTCAGGAAAGACGATGGAGGAGGCTGAAGCTGAGGCTGCAGGTGGAGAAACGGGCAGCGCAGCGACAGCAGCTCAGGAGGTTTTTTACCTTTTATTTAATGTGTTCAATAAGAACGTTTGATTCCAGTGAAGAACCGACATTTCTGGACTTTTGAGCGCAACTGAATATCAGCCACATCCACTAAATTTAAAAAGAAAAAAAAACATTGTAGGCCGTGCTGCAGGTGTCTACTGTATGTTGTAACGCAGGATATTTACACAGAAAGATTTTGTTTCACTTTTAATTAAATCAATGTTTTTTTCTGAACAGTTCCTGTAACAGGTCTGGTTACATGTTAGCTCCTTCCTGCGTCGTAGCCGTAGGGTTAGTGATCTGCTCTCTCTCTCTCTGTCTCTCTCTCTCTGTCGCTCTCTCTGTCTCTCTGTCTCTCTCTCTCTGTCTCTCTCTCTGTCTCTCTTTCTCTCTCTCTGTCTCTCTCTCTCTCTCTCTCTCTCACTCTTCTCAACTACCTCTCTCTCTCTCTCTCTCTGTCTCTCTCTCTCTCCCTCTCTCTCCCCACACACACGTACACAGCCGTTCACAGACAGACATACGTTACTAGTATGACACACAGTAGCCAACCAGAAAAGTCATTGATCGCTAGTGGTATGAACTTCGTTAGCTTTTAAAAATCCTGCCGCATCATTGTTCAAGTCGCAAGATTCAAAGCGTGTGAAAGGAGCAGCGTCTTATAGTCCGCGACTGACGGTAAGTTTTGTTCTGTGTGTTCTTGCAGGGTGAGCCGCCGGCCAAAAAGGGGCGAGTTAATCCTCAGGTCTACATGGACATCAAGATTGGCAACAAGCCGGCAGGAAGACTACGCTTCCTCCTCAGAGCGGACATCGTTCCCATGACAGCAGGTGTGTGTGACGTCCAGTAGGAGGAACCCTGGGGTTCTCGGGTTCTTACTGAAATCAATTCTTTAAAAAGTCTTTAAAAAAACTTGGACTGAGTCAAAGCTACCAAAGAATTCTCAAAAAAGAAATTATTTAAAAATCACAATTAAAACATTTTATTTTCTAATTCACAGAAAACTTCCGCTGTCTCTGCACACATGAGAAAGGCTTCGGCTACAAAGGCAGCAGTTTCCACCGCGTCATTCCTCAGTTCATGTGCCAGGGCGGCGACTTCACCAACCACAACGGCACCGGCGGCAAATCCATCTATGGCAGGAAGTTTGATGATGAAAACTTTGTTCTCAAACACACGGCTCCAGGTGAGCGATCAGACCACACATGTCAAACTCAGGCCCGGGGCCCAAATCTGGCCCACAGCATAATTATATTTGGCCCACTAGCACGTAGCACCTATATACTAGCAGGATTTGTAGTATTAGTGGTGTATATGCTATGTTAGTATGTCCTGTAAAAAAAAAGTTTGTTTTCATTAAAACATGAAAACATTCTACATCACAGATCGAGTCGATTTTTCAGTAAATGTTCATTTCGGCCCAGTGTGACTTTGAGTCCCCCCCCCCACCCCCCCATGTAGACTGTCAAATCCCGACTGGTTTAAACTGGTGGTCTGTGACCTCTGACCTCACAGGTCAGCTCTCCATGGCCAACTCTGGACCAAACACCAACGGCTCTCAGTTCTTCATCACCAATGACAAGACGGACTGGCTGGATGGCAAACACGTGGTGTTTGGAGACCTGGTGGAGGGCATGGACGTGCTGCGAGCCATGGAGGTAAAACACACGCGACGCTTGACACAGAATACAGATAAAACTGATGACTTTCTGTCCCCAAAGACTGATACCGATATTGATTACCGATAATGTACCTGTAGATGAGAAAGACTCATCATGAGGTCAATACTGTACACAAAACTAGGGATGTCCGATAATATGCGCCCACCGATATTATCAGCCGATATTAGCGTAATTATATAATATAATTAAGAATCGTTATCGTTTTTTTTTTTTCTCCAATAATAAAAACCCGATAACAAAACGCCTTGGTTTGGACAAAGATACTGGAATCGGTTGTGGGATACTGAGATGTTTATCGCAGTTTTGGGGGAAAACGTCTGCATATATCGGCACCGGTTGATATCGGTATCGGCAATTAAGTGTTTGGACAATATTGGCAAAAAGTTCATATCGGACAACCCTAAACAAAACCAAAACATTTTTGACTCTTTAAATGAAACTTGTAGCAACTGTTTATTTGTTGTAGTAAGTCTTGATATTTCAAATAATGGCTCCTAGAACTGAAGTACTACTGCATCAGGGTCTAATAAAAGAGAGAAAAGATAATCAATAAAATAAATAAATAATAATAAAACAGTTAAAAGAAGATCTGTGCATCCTTCTCTTTAAAGTTCAGGAAAAGATCATTTTCCGGTAAATCGACCTTTGATCTTGAATTTACTGTACTAATAATTTTCTGAAAAAATCCCAAAAATTAATAAAAATTCACCATCTTTTTTGGAACAATATACTTTTTTGGTTTGTCAATCGTGGATTACAATAAATTCTCTACTAATAAGTTGCTGAAAAAGTTTTCAAAAATCAAAAGAAATTGCAATGTTTTCTTTTCTTTTGGATTTTTCAGGCCCAAGGAACAAAAGACGGGAAACCCAAGCAGAAAGTGATCATTTCAGACTGTGGAGAATACGTGTGAAAACAGTTTTCAACTGCTTATTGGCGTGTGTAAAAGCGTGAATGTGTTCATGTAAATATTTCAATACAAACTTTTGTACAGCTCGTGTCAAATTTATTAAGAGACCCTGATATTTTTGTTTACAGTAACAAAGATTGAACAGAAAAGAAATACAAAAAAAACATCATGAAAGCTGTTCAGATCAGATCATCTTGAAAAAAAATCTTATTAAAAAAATTCTTCAAAAAATTCCATTCCATAGTTTTCTCAAAAATTTCCTAATAAACATGCAGAAAAGATTTTCATCATAATTTTTCATGGCATGTGAAACTGAAAAAGTCAAAAAAAAAAAACTATTTCGGAAAGATTCTTGTCTTGCATGCTTTTCATAAAATTCGGGCATTTAGAGCACATTGTTACAAATTTATTTGTATAAACGTTTCTTTAAAAATGTGAACTTTGTGTGTCATTTTTGGACAAAACCTAAAAATGTTTGATAAAAATATTTCTAAAATTATTTTTAAAAATGTTCTTTACCTGCATGTTTCTCTTAAATTCAGGTCATTTTAGAGAATATTTTTAGTATGTATTTGTTTTTTGTTTTTTTCAAAATTCATACTTTTTGTCTCAGTCTTTGGTCAAAAACTAAAAAAACATTGATGGAATTTAAAAAAAAATTTTTTTCAAAAGGTTATCTTTACCTGCATGTTTCTCATAAAATTAGGACATTTAGAGAGCATTTTTAGAAAATAACTTATAAAATTTTCTGCAAAATGTGAATTTTATGTCTCAAATTTGGTCAAATTTTGATAGATTTTGATGAAAACTTTTGTAAAATTATTTTTCAAAACTTTACCTTTTTCAGCATAGTTCTCATAAAATCAGGACATTTAAAGAACATTTTTCAAAATTTATTTTTATAACATATTCTGTCCAATTGTGAACTTTTTGTCTAATTTTTGGACAAAAACTAAAACAATTTGCTGAAAATATTTGTAAAATTATTTTTCAAAATGTCATAATTTCTTGCATGTTTCTTATAAAATTAGGGCATTTAGAGAACATTTTCAGAAATTTACTTTTATAAAACTTTATGTCAAAATATCAGATATAAATGTCATTTTTGGTCAAAAACTAAGAAATTTTGGTGAAAAGTTTGGATTTTTTTTTTAAAATTGTATCTTTGCCTGCATGTTTCTTATAAAATTAGTGCATGTAGAGAACATTTTTAGAAATTGTTCTTAATAAAATTTTCTGTCAAAATGTGCAGATTTTGTGTCATTTTGGTCAAAAACTAAAACATTTTGACAAAATTGTTTTGCAAAATTATTTTTCAAAGCTGTATCTTTGCATTTTTCTCAAAATGTCAGTTTTTTATGTCATTTTCCATCAAAAACTAAAAAAGAGATACAGAAAAAGAGAAATAAGAAAAAGAGAGAAAAGAAAAAGATACAGTTTTGAAAAATAATTTTACAAAACATTTCCATCAAAATTTCTTAATTTTTGATCAAAATTGACATGAAAAACTGACATTT